CTCCACTCTCCCTTACTCTGGGCTCTCAGCACGGATCCGTTGAGTTGGTGAGGTCTGAGAGCCCGAGCTTAAGCCTGAATAAACCATAAACCTTTGCTTTTGCATTTTGGTGTGTTGGGTCCTCGGTGGTCTTTTTGGGGTCCAGTGGATGAGGTACAACACTTAAAGGCAAAAGATGCAAAATAAAGCATGAGGTCCTGACCCTAGTGAAGACCAGAGAAAAGTAGCTCAATTTTCCAACTGCATTCTGGTCACATGAAGACCCGTCCGCATTCTGGCCACAAGAAGACCTGTCCACATTCTGGACACACAGCATTCTGAAGAACTCAAAACAGTGAGGGAATGGCATGGGTTTGGGTTCTGTACACAGCAGTCACTTTATTAAACTTCTGCCCAGTTGAAAACTACCAACTATTGCTGGTGCCTCAAGAAAGGGTTTGACAAAGCAGATATAGGAGCTCCAAGTTTCCAGTTGGTAATCTTGGAGACACAATTAAGCAATGTCTTATAATTAAATAAATAGGTACTATACATCTTTTGTTTTTTTCAGTCTTTTTGAGACAGGGTCTCCCTGTAGCCCCAGCTGTCCTGGAACTCACTATGTAGACCAGGCCGGCCTTGAACTCACAGAGATCTGCCTGCCTCTGCCTCCCAAGTGCTGGGATTAAAGGCGTGCGCCACCACGCCTGGCTGTACTATGCATCTTGATAAAGTTAAAGCACTAGTAATCAAACAGGCTGAGGCCCATGATCCTCACACATGACTGTCATGAGCAAACACCTTTTCAAAGTAGTTTTGCTAAAAATAAACTGTACTTTAACTGTAGACTCACGGTGAATAGTTTGTGTGTCTGTCAACATCTCTGCTAGCCGGTGTCTGGAGGTCCCATCCACCAACAGCAAAGAACAACTTGCCTATAGTTATGTGGGGCAACTGTCTGTTCTGGGCTCTAGTTCTCAGGTGGAGCGTCTCTGGGTCCAGGATTCCTGCACAGCACACAAAGTCACCAATGACCTGCCTTAAAATTTACAGAGTAGAATGGGGGCTCCCACCTCAGAACTCAGGGCTAGGCCAGCCACTTTTGGACAATTTGGTCAATTAAAAATAGCTCTAAAAATCTCAGTTGTGTCAATAAAGAAATATCCAATAAACATTCTCATTTTAAAATAGGTAAAATATGTTAATAGGCTCCTTGATTGAAAAAGGAAAAGTACACGAGTTCAGAGCCTGTGCCATCCAGGGTGCATGGGTGAGTTCTAGGGCTCCTGACAAGAACTCTTCACTGGGCTGTGTCCTTCTGCCACTTGCCACTAGATGGTGCTGCTGCCCAGCAGATTTAAATATTCTACAACATGCTGGAAAATTTTAACAAATGTTAGCAAATCACATTACTTTCTTAGGATGATTCTTTACAACTAAAATGAACATGACTTCCAAATAAGGCGGCAGACTGTGAGCATGTTGACTCATCCACACCCGCAGTCAAGTATTCAGACAGGCCTGGTCCTCCTCAGCAAACCAGGCCACTGCAGCTCCTTCCCTGATGCTGACTCACGCAGCAGAGTGAGAGTGAGGATCAAACACCTCCTGACGGTAAACCAAATCCCCAGTAACACTTCATGGCTACTTTAGAATTAATACTAATACACAAATTAGTACATTACCTGATCTAAACTCATTCACAACTTTGTTCTTTTTTTTGTTTTTTTGAGACAGGGTCTCCCTGTAGCCCCAGCTGGCCTGGAACTCCCTATGTAGACCAGGCTGACCTTGAACTCACAAAGATCCGCCTGCCTCGCCTGCCTCTGCCTCCCGAGTGCTGGACTAAAGGTGTGCGCCACCATGCCCGGCTACATTCACAACTTTGAAAGTCAGTCTCTACAGCGCTTTGCAGAACCCCGGAACCAGGATACCAGATATCGTGGTCCACTGGGCAGCACAGTCCACCCGGGACCTGGGCGCTACAGCCTCTTCTTCTGTGGCACTTGACCATTGGTTCTTCCCTGCCAGCCGCCCTTGGCTTTGGGCTGTGAAAAGTTCCAATCCACAGGATTGAGAAGTTGCTGGGTCTTCTTGTGTGTCCAGTAGGGGTTAATGATGAGTGTGAGCAGGGCCAGCCCGAAAAGGAACAGTGCAAAGTGGGGCAGGTACAGGCTGCTGACAAAGTCACTCCAGTGCCAGAAGCACACCCACCACATGTGGTAGGTGAGGATCATGCGGCAGTGGAACATGTGGATCATCAGCCACTGGTTGACTTTCCAGAACAGGGAGTCTGACCAGCCAGCCTGCAGACAGAACAAATGGAGGTATCATTACAACACGCTGTGCCAGCAGCTCATCTTGGTCCCTCTTCCCTAAAGCAAATCCAATCTTTCTATCTTGAATTTGTACACGTCATAAAAGTAAACAGGTTCTGTGTATGCAGTAACAGCAGACATGTGGGGCAGTTTGATGGAACACAAGACCTGTCTCTTTAGCACCTTTAACTCAGACAGCCTTGGATGAAGGCCAGAATGGACTTGTTGAAACAGGACACTATCCAGTGAAGCAGGTTTGCAGTTGTGGCTGAAGCTAAGCAGCACTTAGTATCTCAGACCTAAGACATGAAGCCAAGTCAGGCCTTCCACAGAGGCCAGGCCTCCCCCAGAGACCACGCACTTCCTGGCACTGGCCTTCCAGCCTCCTCCGACTGCCAAGCTCAGCACAGATGTGGCTGCAGCTCCTTCCCAGGCAGGACTGGACATTACCTGCACGGTCAAAAGGAAACTCAGAGGTTGGACTCAGGGGCTCAGGAAGGGAAGGGACAGGCTACGGTTCTGCAGCAGGGCTACTGAGGTCTCAGGAAAGGCTCATTATGAAGCTGTGTCACGTCCCCTCCAAGTGTACCCTGAACCAACTTCTAAACTCACCAATCAACTGCTCTCAAGATACATAAAAATGCCATCACATGCTTTGACATCCCCAGAGGTGGAGTCAATGACTTAAGGGATGCCCTTGAGAGTGTAAAGGAAATAGACTAAGAAAAACAGCTTATATTGCGCCAAATGTTGTGAATCTGCCCAAAAATAATTTCATAAAATATTTGGATCATGTGCTACCTGAGATGCACCACGCTCTTAGTTAATACCAGTGATGATATCATCAGCATCCTTGAATAAAACTGCACAAACAGGCTGGAGAGATGGCTCAGTGGTTAAGAGCACTGGCTGCTCTTGCAGAGGACCCAGGTTCAATTCCCAGCACCCACATGGAAGCGAACAACTGTCCATAAGTCCAGTTCCAGGGAAATCCAACACCCTCTTCTAACCTCCTTGGGCATCGGAGGGCAAAGGTGCACTTTAGACACATGCAGGCAATACACTCATACACATAAAAAAATATTAAAATATGGGCCTGGAGAGATGGCTCAGTGGTTAAGAACACTGCTGTTCTTGCAGAAGACCCAAGTTTGAATCCCAGCACCCACAAGGCAACCAACAACTGTCCATAACTCCAGTTCCAGGGGATCCGACAGCCTCTTCTGTCCTCCGTGGGCACTGCACAACACCGGTACACTTACCTACATGCAGGCAACACACACATACACATAAAAATAATAAAATATTTTTTTAAATATTAAAATAAATAAATATTTTAAAAACTGCACAAACAACGGCTTTCCCAGGTTGGGAGCAAGCGCACCTGTAATCCCAGAACTCAGGAGGCTGAGACGACAGGACTGCCATGAGGTCAAAGTCAGCCAAGGCTAGACAGCAAACCCTGTCCCATTAAAACAAAAACCCTTATGCTGTAACCCCCTATCTTTGGTCTTGATTTATAACCTTTAGTTCTGATCAAGTCAGACCTTCATGACATTATTAGATCCTAATGGGCCTGGAAACTGCTGTGCAGACCAGGCTGGCCTCAATGTCACAAAGATTTACCTGTCTCGGCCTCCTGAGTACAAATTCCCATATTTTAGACACAGGAGTTTCTTGTAACATAACACTTAGTAGTACTTGAACTAGAACACCACCAAAAAGCTCTGTAGACGCACTGACTCCAAGTTGTCTTGATTAGGATGTAATGTTCTATGGTAGGGCTGCTGGCATGGTGCAGTTACCTTGAGTGTAGTGAAGAGTGGTGTGTGGGCAGCCTTCTCCACCCTGCACAAACAGCACCCTAACAGCAAGGGCTAGTGCACAACACCCTTTGGTAAAGCCTCTCTGTCACAGAGCTCATGGGGGGGGGGCAGTGTCTGCTTTTGTTTTCATATCAACTGACCAAACATCTCAGCATGGCCTTCAAGAACCTCGTGATCTGTCTGTTGAGCTACTTTCTGAAGATCTGTGTTTCCAGTATCAGAGCAATGTGTGGGCAGAGGGCTGGGCCAAACAAAGCAGCCCCCCCCCACCACATGCTACCCTTCACCCCATGGGACGCCCGTGCTCAAGCCACACAAATAGGGAAATCTCAGTCCTTCATCCACACAGAGAAAACGGAATAACGGCAGGGGGAGACAGGCTGCTGATGGGATTCCTGTCCTGGGCTCACCCTCCTCTGCCCAGCATGGAGCTCTGAGTTGCTGGGGGCATGTCAGGGTTCTCTTTTCCTCCTCCTCCTTGGTGAAGGTTTGAGACAGGGTCTCACTATGTAGTCCAAGCTGTCCTCAAACTTCAGCTCTTCCTGCCTCAGCCACCCAAGGGCTGGGATTACAGGTATACCCCACCATGCCTGGAATAACGTACTGTGCCATAAAAGATGACAAGAATCTATGCTAAAAATGTTAGATTAACACTGACATTCTGACATCAAACTGAGCATCATAATCACATATGGAAGATACACATTAAAAGGGGGTTTTGTGGTTTTTGGTTTAAAATATTTTTGAGACACGGTTTCACTATGGAGCTGAGTCTGGCCTCAAAATCAAACTCACTTCTATTGCTCAGAGAGCCCTCAAACTTGCAGTCCTCCTTCTCAGCCTTCTGAGTCCTGGGATTATAGACAGAAACCACCACATGTCCGGCTAAAAGAACACATCATCAAAAACAAAAGGAAGTGGTGCACAAATCACTTGCTTGGTACCAGCAACCCAGGTCACTGGCTGATGAGCCAGATGAGACCACATGGCTCACCCTACACGGCATGGGAGGAACAGGCCAGACCCATGAGAGGGGAGAGTGAAGGCAGTGAGTGGGACACAGACCCACCAGCCTTTATCAAAATCAAAACCCTAAACGTAAGTACATACGCATACCTATCAGTTTAGAATTATTGTAAGCATGAAGTTAAAATGATGTTCTCTGAGACTGGAGAGATGGCTCAGCAGTTAAGAGCACTAACTGCTCTTGCAGAGGATCTGGGTTCAGTTCCCAGCATCTACATGGTGGTGAACAACCACTAGATTCTCCAGTTCCAGGGGATTCGGCACCCTCTTCTGGCCTTTTCAGGCATTGCACACCCTGGGTGCACTTACATACATGCAGGCAAAGCACTCATACACATTAAAAAATAAATAAAAATAATGAACAATGTCTTCTAGGACGTATAACACTAGTGACTGAGTCTTAAGAGCCACTGATCTTTCTTTTAACTCTGACTTAAATGTAAGAAACCAGATTCAGCCAGATAATGTCTCACTGTACAGTACACCAAAGTCAGTTGCTGATGGCCTTATGGCAGGTCCTAGAGACACTCCAACCAATGGACAACTGTGCAAAGCTCCCTGCTCCACCCACAGATATTGGACCCCCTCCCCCTGAGGATCACTCACCTTCAGGAGCATCCAGGAAACACAGGTGAAGGGTGTGCTCATCTCTAGGAGCAACGTGGTCATGGCTAGATAGTGACCAGCTCTGAGATTGACCATTGAGCCAAGAAACCCAAGAAAGGCAAAGAGGTGGTGGACAACCAAAAATAAGTCAAAAGTCCTGAAGAACAGGTTGGACAGGTGAACAGCCACATTTTCAAAGAAGAAGAAGCCGGTAGCCGTGGTGATGTGAAACCAGCACCAGTTCTGCTGGCCAAGTGCTTTGTCAGCTTGGAGCACAGGGTCCCCCAGCAGAGCCCACAGACCTGCAGTCGTGCTCTGCACACCGAAGACGGCCCGAGTGGCTGCCAGGTTCCAGAAGACCTTCTCTCTGGCTACCAGAGAGCGGTAGGTGGCATTCAGAGAGGATGATAGCTGGTGGCAGACCACAAAGACGCCCAGGTAGAAGACAAAGCCAGCTACTGCCAGCGTTGAACGGATCCTCCAGGAAGCATAGTCCAGGTCAAAGACACTCTCAGCCGTGGCGTCACTGCTCACAGGACTCATGGTCTTCGACAGGACACCAGGGGAGCCCCAGAGCCAATGCTAGGCTGCTAAGCCTGACCCGACTCCTCACTGTCAGTACAGTTGTGTCCAGGATCTTCAGGCCTCCATCCTCAACCTGAAGAAGAAAGAACATTCACCTTGTGCTGACTCAGCAGGAGTAGGACATGTCACTGCCCCTGCAGGGCAAAGGCATGGGGTATTTCTCTGAAGGCTGTTCCTTATTCACATGCACTTACAAAGATACACACACAACAAGGTAACTTCTACAGGCAACACAGGTCAAAGATGAAGCTGAGAGCAGCTCAGACAACAGAAAGGAGGAACATTGGAACACAGCACCAGTTCTCTTCACATAGTACCGCACAGTTGAGGGTCTAGCCTTCTGGGCAGTCTGTGATAAGCTACATATTTCACAGAGGCCACAGGATAAAGCACATCTAAATAATGGCACTGGAATAGCCTCTGTTGAGGTCTCTGATGTCTAGAACCTGAGATAAGATCATCTCTTTGGTGCTGCAGTGTTTGGTGTTAATGAACCATACCATGGTTCAGTCACTGCCAATGCAGACATGGGGCCAGGCACACTGGGTTCAAATCCTACTTCTGCATGTACTGGCCATGTGGTCTTTGGACTTCTCTGGGACTGAGTTTCCTCAGGTGAGCAGGCTGTGAGCACCGGAGAGCAGTGGAGGCTGCAGGGCTGAAGCAAGGTCTGGGTGTAGGTTGAGGTTTCCTAATCTGGAACATTCTAAGAATTGAAACTTTTGGTGATAGTTGTTCACTTGTTCTACAGTTCACAGTAAGAGCCTTTCCTGTGCTGCTTTTCTCTACTTTAGATCCTTGGTGAAGACCCTGGCAGGGCTTCCAGAAGAAATCTGGACATCTGCCTGGGACCAACAGGTCTTCGGGGACACCACTTACTTTCTTGGTCTCCCCTCAACTTCGCCTACGTCTTGCTTCATGCTATAGCCTTTGAGTTCTAAGTGCTTACCTCCGGGCTGGTGCAGATGTGTCTCCTGTCCCTGCCCCCCACCAGTTAAGTTCATTTGTTCTAGAACCCTCTAGACTGGGGAGAAACACCAGCACTAGGAAAGGTAGTGCTGCAAGGTCCAGGGGGACTCACATGCCCTCTATGGCCACCTGGGCTGCACGCTAGCTGCTCACGTGGCCCCAACCTGTACATCGGCCTGGTGAGGGCAAGGTTGTGGCATCTGTGATCTTCATTATCTCCACTGCCTGAAACAAGGCCCAGCACGGCAGGCTCTCATGATATACTTGACTACATGCAGATTCTGAACTGTGCTTAAATGGCTAGAGGTACCTAAGTCAGACCTGTTTTGTTTCTGTAACTGGGAAAGCCGGTGCCTCAAGACTGGAGTCTGCCTACTGGCCTTGCACACACAGAACCAGCATGTAAAGGCAGTCACAGAAAGCCAGCCTCAGAAGCCAGCCCTTCTGATCCCCCAGCAAGGCAGGCACACCCTGACCACACTTCTGAGGGACTTCTTGTACCCACAGTGGGGACTGGAGCAGAGCAGAGCTGACCCTCACTGTGGGAGGCTCCAGCATTGACTGAACCATGGGGCAGCAGGGTAGAGGTCTGCAAGCACTCTGATAGCTGTCTGCACTAAATCATCCAGGCTCTGTGGCTGCAGAAAGCACCAGCTCGTGCAAGCCGGTGCAGTCACTAGTGCTAGGGCCCATCCCAAAGGACAAAATCCCAGAAGTGGTTTTCCTCTAGATTTAAGGCAGGCTAGAGCCATGCGAACACAATGCTCACAGTCACATTTCCTGGAATTCTGGGAGCTCCATGACACTGTCCCGGGTTTTCAGGGCACATGGAAGTGCTCTCTGGAGGTGGACAACCTGGAGGCTGCCCTGTCCACAACTAACACCTCCTGGCTCATGCATCTGCTCATTACAGCAATACTCTAGTCTATTTGCACATTTCCAACAATTCTAAAAGCTACTCTGTACTCAAACTGAATTTAACACTGTCCCATGGGGCTGGAAAACCTGGCCTGGGGATGAGTCTGCACTTTTTGCTTGCTTTATGAGAAGGAAGCTGTCCTTGAAAGCATGATCCTCCTGCACAGCTGGGTACTTCACACCTCCTAACCCAGGTACATTAAAGCCAAGTCTAGTGCTAGGAAAGAAGTCAGCTCTTCCAGGCTGGAGGAAAACAGAGGCCTCCTCACAAACACCGAAAGCAACCCACTTAAAGGTTACCCTGCACAAAACTGCCAACTGCTGACACACAGGCCCTCTAACATCCTAGCTTGCACTTTCTACTAGGCAGTCATGAGACCGGTTACTAGTTCCCATTTTGTGTGACTGCACCACTGTGGTAAGACTCAGAGCTTCCGTGGGTTTTTTTCCTAAACATGGGCAGCCCCAACTCTTGACAAGCTCTGTATGTAGTCTACCTTCTGAAGACAGCAGTGGGAGTCCCACTTCAGCCAGTTGTTTGCTCAGGGTGGGAGGAACTCCAGACCACAGGGACCAGAGGATCAATGAGTCCAGCGCGGTGGGTTCAACCCCTGGTTCCATGGTTGAGAACAAAGTTAGTTTCTTCCTTAGCTGCACTGAGCCCGTGTCTATCCCTAGAAATAAGACCTACACAGAAATACAGGGTAGCAGGGCAGGAAGCACCTATGTGTCAGGCACATTCAACTGGTGTGTCTAATTTTCAGCAGTTTAGAAAGGATGGCTCCAGTCTTCAGGGAATCTTTTAGAGACAGGACAGATGACTGACACAAATACAGCAAAGCCAGAGTGACGATCAGCTGGCTCTCCTGAGCATCCCTGAACAGGTGCCAATTAGACAACAGAAATAATTATAAACACCCAGCTGCCTGTGGTCTCACACGCCTTTAATCCCAGGTGGATCTCTGAGAGTGAGACCAGCCTGGTCTAGCCAGTGTGTTCCAGGCAGACTGGGGATACAGGGAGACCCTGTTTCAAAAAGACCAAAAAAAAAAAAAACAAAACCAAAAACAAAGCCAGACTCCTCATCACCCACCAACCCCTCTCACCACTTCCCTCATGCTGGTTGTGCTCAGACCTCCTGTGTGTTCTCATACAGCTGTATGCAGAGGGCTTTGGGCCAGCATACGCTGTCTGTGGAACAGCACCAATCAGCATCCTCCAAACTCATCTTCCTTAGTCATGATAGTAAAAGGCCAGGATCCTGCCACAAGGCCCCTGACACAGGGATCCAGCTGGACAGTGCCCCCCAAACCAAGAGTGCTGCAGAGCCGTGCTGGTGCCTCTGCAATCACAGCTGTGGCTCACCCAGAGTCACTGGGCAGAGGCACAGGCACAGCGGCACAACCGCAGGGATCTCACACCAGTACAGAGTGAGCTCCAGTTCCCTTTTGCATTTATTTCTGCTCCTCAACCTGACCACATCCCTCTCACCTTAGAAAGGCAAAAATGGACACTGGGGTCATCAACACTGCCCTGCTGCCTGCTTCACACCAAGCCAACTTGAGGACTTCCTCACTGCATGCTGGCCTGCACAGGAGCCCGAAAGAGCTGCCAACTACCCTCAGAGGGTCCCTGTAGCGGGATCCCTAGACTCAGCAAGTCTCCGTGTCTTTGGGAAAAACGTTTCCCCGAAAGTTATTTTATCTGTAACAGTGGTCTCAGCTCTATTTTATTGAAATGTGCCTTTAAAATAAAATCTGAGTATATACAACCAAGACTGTTAGCCCAGTGCTGCAAGTGTGGCAAGGGGCATGTTGAGGAAGCTGGGATTCAGTGTCTACCTGGGCCTTTCATCTGCCTGGCCTCACCTGTGAGCTCTTCCCGGTTGCAAGGGATATCAGTGTTATTGTACTTGGTTAGGGTAACTGATCCCAAATTGGGAACCAAAGTCCGAGAGGAACACTGGCTGCATGCTTCCCTTCAGACCACAAAGCCTGAAGATGTCTCTTTGTTCCACGAGGGATCATCAAATACATCGCTTACCACTAACTGGGCCCAGTCACTTCATAATCTGCAAAGTCAGAGGTGACTCACAGCATTAAAGGGCTTCCCCCAGTTCCCTTTCCAAAAGAAGGAACTAGGATCCCAAAGGCCACGGCTTCCTGCACACTGGAACACTCACCAGCTTTGCATCTCACCCAGCAACCTCATCTCAGAATTCCCTTTGGTCCCCCAGCATTGAAACCCTCCCTCCTTTTGAGTTTTCTTCTGTGCAATGGCTACACTCTTCTGTGACATGACAATTTTCTTAACATGTTCAGATTCACACATGGACAGTTGAACAAAGTTTCCCCCCCCCAAAAAAATCACAAGAAATACATGTTTAACAAACTTGGAAAATATAAGCCCCAAAATACGGACGTGAAACTGTGTTATCCCCCTACCCAGGCTAAATGCGATCACTAGACTCTGGCACCTGCTGAGTCAGTCTTTTTATAGATAGAAATATTTTTCTTAATAAAAGGGGATAGAGTATACACACTTTTTACCCCATGTCTTTCTCGTTAGCAACACATTAGTAAATTTCCCATACCAATCCTCCTCCACCTGGTTCTCAGTGGGCTAAGAGACCACAATGGGACCTGTGCTCATTTACTTATCCACTGTCCTAACCCTGTTCTTCAGTTTCTATCATAAGATGTTCCATACTGAGTATCTCTGAGGTTGTCAAGAGCTATTTCATCTCTTTCTAGGGAAATGTATGTCCAGGGAGAACTTGCATAGGGCCTGGAAAGAAAGCCCAGTCTATCAGTGCTGTTTCTATAATAACCAGAGCCTGGGGGTAGGGGCAGTCTGTTAGTGCAGCTGAAGACTCAGTGGGTGTAGAGCCATCTCACACTCAATACTGACATAATCAAGTCCTTCTCTTGCTCACAATCCTAAAAAGTTTAAGGGGGGGGGCAACCAAAAAAACCCAAAGTATGAAAAGAAGTCCAGAGTGGAGAGCTACAGATTTCACATATAAAAAAGAAGCAGAAAATGGATAGCTGCAAATTCAAGCAGCACTTAGC